CTAACATGGCATGTGGATAATGGGATGTTTTAAGTCGACCATGTTAATGTTACGCTGCAAAATGTTCCGTCAGGTTCGACTACGTTCAGATTTGGTTTGGCTCTGGGGAATCATTTACATCATAGAGTAAACAATATGTGCGGCGCGTTGATCGGGGGTTAAGATGAAAGAGTTATGTTTTTTTTCTCCTCTTTGAAGATGGTTGGAGGGAAACCCGTTTAGTTCAATCAGAGTTTAGACTTTTGCCAAGACCATCAGCGCTGATTTGACTTGCTGTCCGTAAAGTGATGCTGTAGTGCATAACTGATGAATGTGCACTCTTTCAATACAACATCCTTATCTCCATAGAAGCAGAAATACATGATGGGATGCAGAGATGAAGGCATCCACTTCCCTGCAGTGTCTACTTTCATTTATTTGTATTCATACATGAAGTATATCGTAAAACCGAATGGTGTGTTTGGGAAAAAACTGCTTATTCCAATCCGACTTTTTGCTCCCTGCTATGAAATCCTGCAGGCTAAACAAAGACTGAATGGGACTTCTTCCAGTGCCTGGCTGTAAATAACTTTGTCTCCATGTGGTTCTGCAGTATGATACTTGTGTCTTTAAGCAGTATGCTGACTTGTGATTTCATCTGAGAGCAAACGTTAGATATTTACAAGCATATTGCATGCCTAAAGCTAGGTGGATGCATAGAAAGAGGCACTAAATGCAAAATAATGTACTTTGCTGCAAGGTAAAGGTAGTGCCAGAAATGCACAGAGCACATTCAGTGAGGAGACATATGGTCTATGGCACTGGTGGGGGCTTCCACTTTCCTATTAGATTGTCAGAGATCAAATATAAACTTGGCAGCTCCAGGAGCCCTAAGCAAGGCAAAGACACAACTGGTAAACAGTCAGAGATGCTGTGAAGAGAAAGAGACATGCAATATGAGACTTGACACCTTGAAAGATTGATGTTTTCTTTGGCAACGTCAGAGATGAAGAATAAGTTCACACCTTTGACACGAGAGAACAGCAAAACAATGCTCAAGTAGGAGACAGAAAAAAACCAAAAAACTGCTGAAGCAAAGAATGTCTGCAGTATTTAGTTTGACATATTTTGAGTTTTTAGTGGTTTTTTTGGTCTTAGTAGAAGTTTGGTATACTTAAGATTGTGTAAATTTAGAAAGATATTCATGTCATTTGTAAGAAGAAAGGGGCACCGAAGGAAAATATTCACAATTTGTTGCAAGTCATTTTTTTTAATAAGACCTGTTCTGACAAAAACAAAACTAAAACTACTTTATTATCATCCTGGGTTCCATGGAGCATAACAGACAACAAGAGAGATTTCAAACAGGTTTCATTTGATCACTTTTGATGTGATAGATGTTATTTGTCAAATATGCACCAAAAATCAACTCAGTATAATCTTTAAGGCAGGTCGAGCATTATTGCTTCAGATAATGTTTGAAGCTCCTGTACTGAAGATGGGCGTTAAGGTCAAAACTAGTGTGAAGAGCTTATTATTTCAGTTTATATTGTGCTGACATCATGCTTTATATAACTTCATAAACTGTAATGGAAGTCCCACAAGCTAATTGGCACTAAAGCTGACCTTTTTCCAAGTGGTGTTGTCGCTCAGGAGAACAAAAAGACATTAAAGGTCTATGTTTTTGTCCACTGAATGGTTCTTACTCCACAGGGTTCATACACAATGTGGATTTTATACTTAACATTTATATTTCTTGCTTATGGTTTAAACTACTTCAACAAGGTCACAGATAATTAGTTAGCTTTTTAAACATTGAATATTCATGTTATAAGACTTGGCTTTAAATGAAATAAAAGGATACTTTTCAAACTTTTTCCATAGCCGGAGTTAAACTAGAGTAAATGTAACGTCATGCAAGTTTAACCAGCAAACAGACACCAAAGCTGATAGACATAATAACCTTTAAACATTTATCTGTGTGTGTGTGTGTGTATATAAAACTGGTCTATTATTATCACGATTCCTGCTCCCGTCTGCTGCGGTTGACCTTCTTTCTTTTTTTTTTTTCCTTGTCACGTCCCAATCCCGAGATAAGTAGTGAAATCCATTCCCATTCCTGCGGGAATCCCACAGAAATCCCATGAGCCCTCTAGTTCCTACCATGTCAGCACAGCACTCTACAAACACGACATGCATGTGTAAGGAAAAGTCAGAAGTTATTTGTCTGTCTTGGTTTGTTTCAGAAGATAACAAACTTTTAAGAATAAAGCAAAATAACAAACATATTGTGATATAATGGTTTGATGGTAAATGTTTGTATCTTTAGCTGCCTTCAGTAGTTTTATATGATGACTTCTATGGCGCTCCAATTGAAACGCTGATCTACAGACATGGTGCTGTATGCATGAATGTTTAATGTCTTATATAACATTCAGTTCTCATTCCATATGAGATGATAATGCAGCTCATTACATCGACTCAGTCATCCCCACTGGTTCCTTTAATGTCCGTCTTCACCTCGCTGCAGATGTTTCTGACCTCGTCACTCTTTGGTCCGTCCTCTGTTTCCTCTACAGTAACCGTTATTTCCAACCAGCAGTATTTATTGTCGTCATGCTCTTGTGGAGGCTGCGAGTTGGCTCCGGGCCGTTTCTCCAACTCCCACTTTGCTGAAGGCGTATCACCCTCGTCCTCTTCCTTGAAGTTCGGCCTCATTGTGGAACTTGCTAATGATATGAGGGACTTTTCTTCAGTAACTGGCTGTACTGAGGGACAGATGTTGCTGCAGGCTCTTTAATTTGTCAGAGTCAAATTAGTATACAATGAATTTCGTAAACCCTCGAGGGGACTCATTCAATCAGTGTTGCCTTATGTTTTCAAAAGAGAAGAATTATGTGAGCAAAAAGAACTAGGCCAAACATGATTTATATTTATATTTGTAGTCTAAGCAGGGATGCCAAGCGTTTGACTCTAGACTCAGGAAATGTTCACATGGGTTGTTTGCCACTGAAATGTGTTTATTTGCATAAAAATACAGGGCTTATCATAACTTGGTGTTGATGATTTTTTTTTTTTTTCACTTTAAGTGCTGTTTTTGGTTTGCTTAACTTTTCATGAATATGCAAATACACTTAGAAGTGATTGGGGAAATAAGTGAACTACTGACACAACAAAATAATGAGCAAAGGATACTTTCTCTGTAATCCAGCTTTAGTGCTGTTTGTCATTGCCTTTGATTCAGTCTGAATTTAGGAATTTGAGATCAGAGGACTAAATGAAGGACTCAAGAATTATGTGTAAGATTTAGATGGAACGAGTGAGCTTGAATCCTCCTGGTGTTCTTTTGTTTCTCTTCCTCTTTTGTGTAAAAAGAACTACAGCTGAGAGTGTTAGAATAAACCGAATTATTCTCTAAAAGTGTCCTTAAATGGCTGCAGTCCACTGGAGCTAACAATCTGCTGGACCCAGCAAAGCCAAGTAAGTGATGTGAGTCTGCTAACCCCCAGCTGGTATCCTATTGAAGGATACCAGCACAGAAAGAACTGGGAAACTGAGAATCCTTCCATAACAACTGTTGGGTGCATTGCTCATAAAGTGACTCATTTCATCTCGTCCTTTTTATTATGTGAAAACAGGAGCAGGAGCTGACTGATTTAAAAAAAAATAAAGTGTAACAAAAACACGCTAGCACCCGTCCAAGTTATCAAGAGTGGATCTGCTTTTTTTTTTCCCACCAACACATTTCACACCAGACTTCAGAATAATTGTCCTTCTGTTTGGCCAGAATGTGGCTACCAGCTAATTGAGACGTTTAGGAGACGGAAGCCAAGACGGTGTCCAACAGCTGAGCTGGTTTGCTAATGTGTGTGTTCTCTCTCTCTCTCTCTCTCTCTCTCTCTCTCTCTCTCTCTCTCTCTCTCTCTCTCTCTCTCTCTCTCTCTCTCTCTCTCTCCCCTCGTTCAGCCTTTAAACAGAGAGGCGCTGCAGTCGTCTGAGTGTGTGTTTATGTGTGGCAGAGCACCGGGTAGCAGGGGCAAAGCAGTTCAGGAATAATGTGTTCATCCACTGCTGCATTTAAATCTCAAACAGAAAACAAAGGAGACCTTTATCCATCTGATATGCAACATTAGACTGTGAGGTCATGAAGCTTAACCCAGCAAGTCTCATTTGAGCTTTGAGTGTGTGTGTGTGTGTGCCTGTATTGTTGCTAGGCAAAACAAATATCTTTTTGTATCTGACTCAAAAGCTTATCAGTGTAGAGCAGGGGTGGGCAACTGGCGGCCCCCATCAACCCTCAATGTGGCCCTCAGGTTAATTAATTGGAAACATGAAGAAAACTTGACAAAATCTGCCGTGAAATCATGAAAACCAGAAATATGTCATAATAATATTTGATCACTGGTATATGTTGAAGTTAAATCTGAGACATAAATGACTGTAATCCTTTCGTATCCTACAATGTGGCCCTCTAGCACTGATAATTAAATGAATGTGGCCCCTTGCTGTGACCAAAGTTGCCCCATCCCTGGTGGTAGAGCAAGAACCACAAGAAGAGGTTTTGTTGTTCCAGCTGAGTGACACAGTCATGACTTGTTTTCCTGCATTTATGTTAAACATATAAGGTCCTATTTTAATTTTTTAAAAAGTGTTCCTCTTAAAGGTTTAAACCATGATCTAGCTGCCATTGAGATCATATCTAATCAAACAACATTAACAAGCTAAAGATGTGTTGTTCTTTGGAAGACTGGATTTTCTATATCCTGGTGGTTTCCCCTGGAGCTGCAGCAAATTAAACTGAAGTTTCCATGATTATAATGTCAGGGATTTTAGAGGCCAATAATGGCTCAAAATGTTTGGATTGAATAAAAGGCTTCAGTGGCCTTCTATCATTAGTGTTGGCTGAAAAAAAAAAATGTTCTCCACAGTGATACAAAGGGAACTTTAGGGCTATTCAGACAGTGTGCGGCCGTCAATTAAATTCTTCACCTCATCACCTCTCTCTCTCTTTTGTGGAACAGCGTGGACCTGGTGCATGCCCAGCTGCATGTGTGCGAGGGCCGCAGCCTGCCAGAGCTGAACCTCAAACAAGACAAGATCAGGGTCAACGGCTGTGCGATCCAGTGCAGAGTGACGACCGAAGACCCGGCCAGAGGCTTCCAACCAGACACCGGGAGGATTGAGGTAGGGGCTCACCTCACCATATAACTCAAGGCTGAACTCTCAAGGAGATAAATTAGGATAGTGGCGGGATAGTTTCCTCTAACTTGGAAAGGAGTGAGAAAGTCGGCAAGACAACACAAATCACAGTAACAAGACGACTATAAATGTGCGTTATAGTTAATTTGACACTTAGACATGTGAAAGCCGAACCGATGGCTAATCTGATGGTAACGTGCCATCAGCTCTTACAAGCTTGTTTGATATGTTTTTATGACGTATCGTAAAATCCAAACCAGCTTTGATATATTCCGCATTTGCCTAAAGGAAAAAAAAATCACTTACTGGAGTGTTATGGTTATGAGAGATAATGGAAAGTCCCTGACTGACATGTGTTATCGTATGTGTGAACACACGTGCACGCCACACAGTCACAGCTGCAGGGATCATCCGGAGTTAAAGCTCTGTCACATTGATCCATGCTGTGGCTCTCAGCGCTGCTAGTTTAAATGTACGAGGTCTGTGTGTGGCATGGCATGATTTCCCCTGTTTGCATTTATGTTTCTGCGTGGCTGAATGCTAGTCCATGTGCGTATCTCTGCGAGAGAGGGACATCTATGTGTGTCGTTTCAATGGATTTTTATGTAGCTGCAGATTTGGTGTGACAATGAGCAGTCAAAGTTTCTGTCCATTTCCCTTTTCGTGTGAAAGGAAAAGTGATATTGTTGGACAGTGTTCACACATGAGCAGACACAGAGGTCGCCATATGAGTGCTGTGTGTTTCCATGCACAGGCACGTGTCCTGCATTTCCTCACACCAATACGCCATTTCTCAGAGTGTCTCTATAAATCTCTCCCCCGCTGATGAGGTCTGATCCCTCAATGCTTTTTGCTGTCAAGTCCTTTTGCCCTTCAACCTAGACTGTACACCCCACCCACTCCTTTTCTGTTTCCCTTTTTCTCCTCAAACCATCCTGCTCCCCTTCCTCTAATGTGTTCCTTTGTGCTGATTCTCTATTAGCTTTTATAGGCCTTAACTGTGTCACAAAGCGCTTTACAAATAATTAAATGGTAATGAAGGCCCGTTTGAATCAATAAAAATGGCAGACTGGAATTAAAGCAAGGTTTAATAGGAATAAAAGAGGCATTTATCAGAATAAAAACAAATTGAACCTTGTGCTAAAGATAATTATAAGAGATAACGGTGCTTTTGACCTCAGCAGTGCGTTGTGCTTATACAAGCCTTGGGGTTTGTGTTGGCTATGGCGAGGATGTCTGGTTTGTAGCCAAGACTCAGCTAAACATGGCCGGATTCTTTTTAGGAGGAGAAAGATGATGTAAAAAAAAAAAACTTGTCTCATAATATGACACAGATTTCTTCAATGTCTTGTAAGAAACATGCAATCCACAGCTCGGCACTGCTCATAAGCAGACACAGTGAAGCTGATCAATGTTATGATATTATTGTGCGAATGTCAAATTTACTGCGATAGGGAAGCTATAAATTCCTGGAGACCCTCTGGACTCATAACGTGTCCTCGCTCTTTCAGCATGTCATCGATGCTGTGAATAAAATACTGATATTGCTGCCTAGTGACTTAACACCGTGATTTTTGACTCCTGGGATGTGATTGAATTTCGATGTGCTCTGGTAGCTTTCCAATCAAACAAATCATTCTCTCTCTCTCTCTCTCTCTTAGTTCTGAGCGAGCTTGAGAAACTACATGGTTGTGTTGTGCACACAGATTTATTTCAATTTAATCTACGTCCATTGATTTATAACTCCAGGGGTGGCTGCTGTAGTTTATAAACAGATTATGTGGCTCAATGATTAGACTGTTTTTTAAAAATGTTATCCTGGACAAATCACCCCGACATATAAAATATTTAACAGACAACAGAGCATCTTAAGCACTATTTAAATCGGCAGAGGTATCAGCAATTTAAAGACGTGCCCATCATGTTTCTTTCTCACTTCCTGGGTGCATTACTACTCACTGTGAAAATGGACGTGTACCCTGTATAGTGCTTTTCTCAGCAAGTTGTCTGAAAGAGTAGCCATGGAATAGCTTGTGACCTTCCCATTTCAAGGACTTTCTGCCGTTTTTTTTTTCCACTATTGTTTTTTCTCCTTTTCTCCCCCTGCATCACTCAAGCTTCCCTCCCACCTTTCCCCTCCTCTTAAAATAATGTACATATTCCCCCTATACTTACCCCCCCGAATCCATCACAGCCTCTTTCCCTCTTCTACCCACAACAACCTTTCCTCTGATATTATCTGTTCCCCATCTCTCTTTCCCCACTGCCCTCTTTTCCTCTGCTTTACCATTTAGCCTCACAGTGGAGACATGAAACATGTCAACAGAGCGACAGCCCCAGCTCCACCATTACCATGCAATATAAATGAAGCAAACACAATCAGCACAGGAAAGCCTGGATGTAGGAATGCTACGTTTGAGGGACGGATGAATAAATCATGAGTGAAGGGCTGTGACAGGGTCAGTGACTGAGTGACGCAGTGAAAGGTGAAGAGCAGGACGGTGAGAGCATCGTCACGCTATGGGCTTTTAGGTCTCTTGATGCTTGGAAAAAAAACTCTCTAATTATCTTTGATGATACGGAGTCATTTCTGCAACATTTTAACAGAAATTTCAGAGGCGCAAATGTCCAAAGCAGAGTTTGGAGGATGCCACAGTGTCTTACCACTTTGAACTTAAACTTAGCGCTTATGGCACTCTTGAAGATGCTGCCTGTCGACTCCCATCTCATGTAAGAGAGCGGCTGTGTGGCAGCAGGAGAAAGAAGGAACTGGACGCTGTAGGAGAACGGTTCCTGCTTCTAGTTCGCACAACAATTGGCACCAAAGTTTACAATTCTTTTACTTCTTATAAAATGCTTAAAATGTTAGAAGCCTGCAGGAGAGAAGAGAGATGAATTGGAATGGAAACACAAGAGCTGAACACAGGCGGGGAGGAGGAGGAGGAGGAGCATGTGTTTTTTTGAGTAGAGGTACTGATTCTGTTTGTGAACAAAACAGAAGCAAAGCTCCAACAGGTCAAATCTGTAATGGATACACACTTGTTTTGCATGCCATTGGAGTTCATTTTCTGGGACAACTTGGACAAAGAGAACAGACATGGGAGCTTTTTTTTATCCAGTTCTCTCATCCCCTTTTAATGGAGCTTTCAGTGCAGATGAAAGGAATAGGTGAGAAGATCTACAGACGGAAAAGCTAAGAGGTCACAAAATAGCACCAGGTGTGAATACGGAAGGAAAGAATGTGTGTTAGAGACGTAATTTTACACCCCGCCATCGCTCAGCTTCTATTCAGAAATCTGACCCTCAAATGCAGTGTCCCTTTGAACATCTGGTGCTGCGTATTGTGTTGAAAGCAGTTAATGGACAACGCAAGGTTTTTCAAAAAGTTTTCACTCTGACTTTGATTTTTTTTTTTTGTTTAAAATCTATCGTCTTTGGGTTGGTGACTGAACTACAACCGACAAACTTGAATTTTATTTTCCGTTGACAAAACGGTCTCAATTCAAGCGCCGTATCGTCAATAAGGGTTAAAACCTTTTTTTTTAAAATCACTGTTCAGCCAATCTTTTCCTAATAATAAATGGTGATTTTTGTGCAAGAGAGTGTGCAGGATTTTGTCATGCAAAAAGAGGTCGAAATTCAAAATACTTCTGAAATCTAGCATCATGTATGACCCTTAAATGTTTCTACGTCGTCTTGTAACACTGAATACAAGAAAGAAGGAATTGTTTTTAATTAGCAGCCGAGTGAGTCAAAGAGCTCGGTCTCCACGGGGGAAAGATCTGCAAATGCTGTATCAGATGAGAATAACTTACTGGATGCATACAGGGTTCAGGTAGAGAGGAATACGGGGTATATTCAGGAAGTACAATAACAGTAGGGTGTGAGGTGTGGGGGAGGGGGGGGGGGGCGGTAGAGGCTTCAACAATGACGATGAGGAGTGATGGATGTCATAGCACGCGGGTAGCGGCAGCCCTGTCGGCAGAACGACAGCGAGGGATTGACTGTGTGCTTTTAGATCAAGCAAGCAAGCAAGCAAGCAGGGAGGGAAGGAGAGTATTAAAGCAGCACCTTGACATTTTGTGTTTTAATCTATTTTTCTTGCGCAGGCACTCACAGTTACAGTCAATGTATCCGCCAACCTTTGGTCACATGAGCTCGGTGATTAAGTTTAGCTTGCCCGTTTCAAAGAAGCGCGAGTGGAAAAGCCTTCACCTCCAAAGGGCGATGAATGGCTGATGACGACAGTTTACCTGAGCCAGAAATCATGTTACTTCTGTAAAAAAAATAAAGAGGTGGAAATAGAGCTTTACAATATATACTCTGCAGGGACAAACAGGAGGTGGGCCCAGGTCTGGTCTTTCTCCATCCTGTACAAATGTGAAGGAGTGGTTGAACGTAGCATGTGTGAAATTTGTCTTTGTCGATATCATCAACAAGAGAGCAACAGTTGTAGTCCTCGTCTTCCCATCTACCTGCAAATCTATCCATCAATCTTTTTGTTACAGATGTCTCCATTTATTGGAGTGAATCGCTCCATCATGGCTCTCTATTTCAGCCATCATATGTCCTCCCTTCCCCTCTTTCCGCCTCGTCTACCTGGCCTTCTTTCCTTATTTTTTTTTCACCATATGTCTTATCACCTTATTCTCTGTTTCCTGTCTCTTTGCTGCCATCACATTTCGCTCCCTCCTCTCATCCCTCACCTTATTTTTACACTCCCTCCATATCGCCTTTCCTCCTGCTGTCCTTGCATTTTCTCTCTCTCTACCTGGCGTCTCTACAAAACAACAGCAAGTTGTCAGGCCATACTGTTCCTCTCTACTCGCCTCATTCTTATTATCCACCTCTTTGTGTAACTCATTTCATTTCCTCCATTTCCCCCCACTTTGCTCTCTCTCTTCCCTCTTCCCTTCCCACAGTCATGCATGATTCAGTCGGCTAAAAAAAACGCCAGCATGTACATGTAGCTCCAGAGAAACAAA